TCGATTATATACAATAAAATAAAAAATATTAGAAAAATTCTCAGATAATTATCATTATGAAATAAGAAGAAAAAGGAGAACATTCGAGATGGCGACCTAGGGTTTGCTTTCTCTCAAACTTTCGTCTTTTTCCTTGCTAGTAAAGCGTTTTTATGATATTTCTTTAGATTTCTAGCAATTTCTTGCTCATATTTTGTGCAAGAACCCTTTTGTTATTAAGTCATTCTAACATTTCTACACATAAAACTAATGATTTTTCATTGGATGTTGAGTGCTACCTTATCAGTCAAATTTTTGTAAATAATAGACTAAATCTTTAGGTTTGGTTATTTATGAAATTTAGGTATTTGTCTCTGAACATTAGTAACAGTAGATCAAAAACATCATTTTACTTACAGAATAACTCCAAGTTATTGTTTATATTTGTAAAATATTTTGAAATGGTATAAATTTGAAGAAGGGTGTTTTGAATCTGATACTTTCTTTCTTAACCACCAGAAAATAGCTGGAAAAGTTGTTTGTATGAAGAAAACGATGAAGAATAAGATAAGAACAGAAACCAAACAGAAGAAGCATTCCCAGTGAAAATGACCCACCATTATCACTACACCAGTTCAATCATTTTCTTCATGTTCCAATTCATTTGTCCATCAAAATGTCAATTTTAAGTCTTTGTCTTTGGAGTAAGTCCATTCCTTTTCAAATTTACAAATAACTCATGTCTCAAACACTGTTTATTCTTAACAGTGAAAAAACAGAGGTTTTCTCTTATCATGGGTAAGATTTTTGGTTTGAAAACTCAAGTAGAAGGGTGATTTGGCTGAGGACATTGATGGGAAGAAAGAAAGAAAGAAAGAAAGAAAGAAAGAATGAAGAAAAGAAAAGAAGAAAAGAAAAGAAAAGAAAGTAAAGAAAGAGAAGGGTATCCTAAAATGAGAAAAACAAAATACACAAAGACAGTGTACCATTGATGTCCTGTAAAAAGCATTTTGGTGCTAAAATGAGAAAAACAAAATGAAGAATCTGATGAAGATGGACCAAAATAAGGATAGAAAATGATTGGCACTTTGAGCCATTTTATTTGCTATAAAAAGAGCGACGCGGAAGAGTGAGCGGGTGAAATTTAAAGCTTGATCAGATAGATACACACAGGACCATCATCTTCAAAATTTACTACACAAATTTTTTGTTCTTATATGATTCTTCTACCATTTTTTTTGGACATCTACCTCCAGTATTATCCAAAAGAATTAGTTGAAACTAATTATTCCAAGAATTTACTGGAAAAAAATCAATATACTGTTTATTGTTACCATCGAACAGATGTTAAACTAAAGAAGTAAATGGTTGATAGTGTAACATATCAAAACAAGTTTTCTTACCAGTAAGATTTCTTGAAGTATTAAAAAAGTAGACTGAAAAGAAAATTAACTTTTACATCAACACCAAGAGGGTAAGTTTTGCAGTTGAACTATCACATTTCAAATGTCCATATATATATAGAAAAAGCAGAAGAAGGAATAAAGCATGGAGTAGAAAAGAGATTAAATCGATTTGTCCATTTGGATTGGAAAAGCATAAGGCACTCTGCCACTGTACTGCTTGTCCAACACTAACAGGCAGAATTTTTTTAACTTATAGTGCTGTACAGTCCATTATACATTTCTTCTTCTTCATCTTTTTCTTTTCTTTTACTTTTCAAATTAAGGTTCGCAGAAACTTTACCTTCAGTCCACCCTTATGTCAGGTTCTTGGCAATGTGAAACTGTAAAAAGTAAATTTTGTAGTCAAATTAGGGCAGGAAAAAAGAAATGAAGAAGAAAAACTCAGATTCTAAAAATAAAACAAAGTTAAAATGCATTTCTCTCTCTCAAACCTTAAGCCTAATACACACGTCTCAAAGAGCAGCAAAGATCTCAGTTCTAATGATAAATAACACAACTATGTATAGTGACTTCATGAAAAAATATAAATAAAAAAAATATGCTGCATGGTACTGAATCATATAGCGTTAAGGGAGCATGTTCTTTCTGAGAATTTTTATTTTCTTTGCTCAGGTAATGTTGTGTAAAATCATGTGGTACTACCCACCTAAAAAACTGTTATTAGTAGGGACAGCTTCAATTCAAACTTCCCAATTCCTTCAACATCTCTGTTCAATCTTTCCCTGTCTCCTTCTTAATCAGTATCTTTTCAGGGTTCACAAAACTTAAACTCAATTGTTAAAAATCAAATCTATATCAGTTTAATGACATTTTAACATGATGGTTTTACATATAGAACAGAATCATTATATGCATGTCTTCTTAAACTATACATAATTTTTGTGAGCTATAGAATTTCTATTCCCATAAATTCAGGCTATAAGAGCCCTTTGTCCCACCAATAATTGCCTGTATGCACCATACGGGTGCTTTGCTGTCAGGTAGGCCTGTTATTCCGACCATTAGTAAGAAGAGATTTGAGTTTAAAAACTTGTAATGGCATATCAGCTAAGACCCAGTTCCTAGCTTCTCTTAATTTTTTGAGCTTGTAATCCTTTTCACCATCACACCAAGCACAGATATACACATACAAACAAGCAGCGAAATGTACTATGTGGTCCTGCTCCAACTTTCTTTTTTCCTTTCCAACTTTTTCTTGCTATCTATTCACCTTCATAAACAGGATATATCCGCATACCATTTTCCATCAGCACTACCATTCACTGTGACATATTTTGAAAGCAATGGAGGCCAGAGGTCTTGAAGGAAAGCTATACTCAAAGGAGAAGGCCATCAAGGATTGTCTTGTTATGGAAGTGGACAATGACATGGAAGACGAAGAAGAAATTGGTAGTATGGGAGATGGGTTTGGTGGAGATGATGAAAAGAAGAAGAAGGTTTCTGGTAAGAAAGGATCTGGTAGCACCAGTGGCAGCGTGTCTCCACCCTCTTGCCAGGTAGAGAAATGTGGAGCTAATTTGGCAGAGGCCAAGAGATACCACAGGCGCCACAAGGTGTGCGAGATTCATGCCAAGGCGCCGGTTGTGCTTGTTGCAGGACTCAGGCAGAGGTTTTGTCAACAATGTAGCAGGTCTTGATTTCATTTCCATGTCATTTTGGTTATAGCCTTTTCAACTACTCCCTCGTTTTGACATGAAGTAGAAATGCTAAGGATTTTATAAGCTATTGGTTAACTGAGGTCTGCCCCTGCAGTACTAGAATGGATTGAAATCTCTAATGACTATCAATTCTACATAACTTCATAACCATGGTTAACTTGAACAGGTTCCATGAATTGTCAGAGTTTGATGAAGCAAAGAGGAGCTGCCGCAGGCGTCTAGCCGGACACAATGAGCGGCGTAGGAAGAGTGCAGCTGAAACATGCAGCGAAGGGTCAAGCCGGAAGGGGGTGAGTCCTCAGTGCAGGCAGACAGATGAAAGAGACAGAATACAGATCAATCTTCCCGGTACTTCCTCATTCAAGCGTTCTCAGATCAGATGAAGTGGTCTGCTCTGCTGCTTCATTTGCTCCCTCTCTTCTGTCATCTACAGCTTCCTCTATTCCCGTATCAATATGGTACTTATTATATGCTACGTATGACGATAAAGCTACTGCAACCAGGCATATGTTTCAACTGTTTTCCGTTATGTGAGTCTATATGATGCTACTATTGGATAAAATAATCGGGTTACAGCCATTGCATGATTCACTTTTGGTGAATATGTGGTGAAGAAAACCAACTCCTAGCTTCAACTTGAATTTTTTTGCGTACTTTGTAATCAGACATGACGGCATGATGAGGAATGCTATAGGGAGAAAAAAAATGTTGCACTGGAAATTATTACATATTGGTTTGCTAATGCTGTTTGTAAAAGCTTTCTCTGTCCTGCATGTTTGTAATTTATCAGGTAATTTAAAATCTCTGTAAACCAGCTTATGACCTAGTTTGGTTAGAAAATATCTCATAAGGGGGTTTGTTTTGGAATTGTCAGCTTATAAGCCAAAAAAATTTAGCCATTCTATTGGCTTGTAAGTCATACAATAAGCCATTTCTTTCGTATGTAACACAAAACATAAACTTCTCCTCTTCTCTTCTCTTATCAAGGGGGGAAGAAAAAAGAAACATAAACATCTAGCATTGCAAAAGATATGAACAACCAATACAAGAAGATTTTCTCAAAGGAGTGGTGAAACTCACCAAATATTATCTTACCATTAAAACTTCACAACTATGACAGAAATATCATCTGTGCTACCCCTAGCAAGAGCCTCTTCTGTAAGGTGCTTTGCTGCAGACCGAGCATCCTTAATCACGTGCCGGGCAGAGTCCACTGCTTCTTGATTAGTCATTACCTGCCATTGTTTAGGGGGAAAAAAACAATAAGAATGCGAGAAAGCACAATCATATGCCAACAGTGTTGTAAGTTCAGATTTGTCCAAGTCACTAACCTTCCATAGCCCATCACTAGCCAAGATAGCAAACTCAGTATCATCGTATATCTTTTCCATTGCAACATCTGGTTCTGAACTTAGATGTACCTTTATGCTCTTGTCACCAAATGCTCTTGCCACTGCCAACTGCCCATCAACACGCGGAACATCCCCTGATTTCAAGATAAAAGCTTTTGGTCTTAACATAAAATGTGAATAAGAAAAAAAATTGCCATGAGTACAAGGCTTAGAATTCGACATAAAAGTCCACTTTATCACCTTAAATACATTATATTCTATCACTTCCCTTATGTTCTAATAAGCAAGAGTGTGGATGTAATGAGATAGGCCACCTCTGGACTTGAAAGATTTGATAGCGTGTAAATAATTGAGTTGAGTAGCTATATGTTTAAGCAGGCATCAGTGTCTTACCTGGGAAGTTTGATACAAAACCACCTCTATTCTCAATGATCTCCTTTTCCATGTTTGGTTCATGATCAACTGACAGCTGTTTGGCAACACCATTCTTGCAAATAACAGCACGAGAATCACCAACATTAGCCACTATCAGCTTCTGGCAGTTGATCAGTATTGCTGTCACAGCTGTTGAACCCCCCTTTCCCAAATCAACTGCCTTGTCCAATATTTTAGTATCAGTAATACGATATGCTCTCCTGATTGCTTTCTCTGGCTCTGACCAGAAATCAGGCTACTTTGCAAGAAAATGAAGATCGAAAAGAAATTAGCTAATCACAGAAAACCAAAACCCTTGTTACATAGTACTCAGACTGCACATAGTTCAACTTGGTGTAGTAAAATTATCATTCAATTTCTAGTCAATTCATTAGTCTGATTCTCCTATTACTCTTAATTTGCATAGTTATAACATAATTTGGATGAATTCCCAGCATAAAAAATTTAAGGTGGGGTGGTGTCAACTAATACTTCATAAATTCTGTTCTAAGTACTAATAGACTTACGAATTGAATAAGACTGAAGCAAATGCTGCACAAGTGAAATAGATATCACTACAAATATGATAAGAAATGGGAAAACACAAATTCAAGGCTTCTCTATAAGTTTGTTATTCTCAAATTTAAGAAACTTCAAGGAATATCTAAGTATGGTCCTCCATGAATACTAATCAGTATTGCTGCTCAAAAGGAATAAACAGTGTATTATATGGAGAGATGAAGATGAAAAAGATTACCTCATTCAGTATATTATCAAATAAATGCGAGCATAAGTAGTCCGGAATTTCGTGGCTGAGATGACCATCAAAAATTGCAAATAAACCAAGCTCGTTTTCGTCAACTTCCTTGAATTTTGCAACAACGTAATCTTCCATGGCATGGTGAGCTTTCCCCTTTACTAAGTGATAACCATGTGTTATTTGCTTTGACATCTTACTCTTCCCTTTCCCAGAATCAATCTGTGATGAACCTAACTTTTGCTGCAATGTCAAACACCAAATCTAAGCACTTGCTCCCCCAAAAAAGAAACCCATAAAAATGGGGGGGAAAAAAAAAGACAAACCTAAACAGATTACAAACAGCCGGTCAAAATCAACCCATTAATCCAGAGAGAACAAAATCTAATAAATCTAAAAACATACCTCTCGCAAAAACATGAAAAATCAAGCGAACCCAAAAGCAAGTTTTAAATTTTAATATAAACCCATTAACCAAAACACAAAAAGACAAGTGGGTTATATAAGTGGCGGACGTGCGTACATATATTATGTACCTTGACAGACATCTTCAACCTGTGAAGGAATTCTCTAGCGATCATGGCTACTGGGTTACGTGGGTATATATATATAGAGACAAAATATGTTGATTAACGGCGAATAATACAAAATTCAGAAAGTGGGTATGACGCGGGCACAGTGGCCGAGACGAAGGAAGATGAGAGAGATGGGAAGAGGAATCAAGGGTGGTACGCGGAGAGACAAGTGTAGAGGGTGAAAGACGAGCAGCGTTGTCGTCTTGACACGACTCACCTCCTTCCATTTCTTTGGCTGCGTTCTTTGCGCTAATCCTTTCAAGCATCAGCCCTTCGCGCCACACCACCTGCTTATTCTATTTTATTTTATTTTTTCAAAAACCATTATCTAAGTATCTTTCTTCTTTCAAAAACAATTATCAATTATCCATTTGGTCTTATTCAAATTTAATTGTGTTCTTCTTAATTTAGGTTCTCATTTACGAAAATTTTTATGTTTATAATCAGTATATACATATATATATATATTTGAACGTTCATTATCTGACTGAAATTAAAAAAATTATATCAAATTAAGGTGTTCTATCCACATCAAACAAGATTAAATAAAGTTCTAATCTATACTCAATCTACAACGATGTTATCTGAGAAGATTAATCTATTCTGATATGATTCTGGTTTAAATTGATTAATATATAATATATATATATTATATGTAATACATATGTTTTATCCTTAGTTTTAGCTTGTGATTTCATAAGAATTTAAACTTGCTTGCTGATTCTTTTTTTTTTTTGGTTTTATCTAACAAAATGGAACTAAGATTCAAACTTGAGTTATTGAGCTTCATAGAGGGCATGCTATATAAGCTATATATATATATATATTCATGGCTTGTCATGAATCTTGACCATCCATACTTCCATTTTATCTACAATAAAATGATATTAAGTATTTGGGACCATCTATATATATATATATATATTAAGTATTTGTATTTATGTTTTTTAACTTAGACTGTTTATATTAAAATTAAAAAATATATATAAATTTGAATATGTACTTTTTTTTATTAATATTTTTAACGAAATAAATTATTCAATTAATTTTAAATAAGTAAAATAAAAAATAAATAACAATATAAAAATACCAAAATTTTTACATAAAAAATCTCTCTTCCCACGAGGGTGCAACCATGGGCATCTCTTCAATGGACGTAACATATGAAGGATTGACGTACTCCTTCTGTAATGGTGCAGCCATGACCACCTCAACTAATTCTTCATTATTACTAGTATACGTAATATACGATAGATTCATATACTCTGCCTACAAAAATACAGTCATAATCATCTCCTCAACTATTTTTCTATTATTATTAGTAGGTGTAACATACGATGGATTGATATACTCCTCCTGCAATGGTGTAGCCATGACCACCTCAACGGTCTCTCCATTATTATTAGTAGGTGTAACATATGATGGATCGATGTTCTCCACTTGCAAATGTGCAGTCATTGTCATCTTCCCGGTTATTTCTTTATTGTTATTATTAGTAGGCGTAACGTATGAAGGAATAATGTTCTCTTACAATGAGACAGTCATGACCACCTCAACAATCTCTCCATTATTATTAGTAGGTGTAACATATAATGAATCATAGTACGCCACGGGCAAAAAGATTTATTCATATGGAAAATAAGACTTTAATCCCATGTACATCATATATACAAAGTGGATAGATTGAAATTGAAAAATTAATAATTTTAAATCAGTCGTGATTATAAAATAATCCAAAGGGTTTGGTCTTTATTAGATCT